GAACAGTGCTCCGTGGGATGTTCAAGGCTTGGGAAATCTTTTTGTAGCCTAAGCCTGCTTTAAATTTCTCAATAACTTTATCCCTGACCTGTCTGGTGTGTTCTTTGGACTTCATGGTGTTGTTGCTCCCAATATTCTCTTAGACAACCTCTGAGGCCGTCACAGAGCAGCTGTATTTGTACTGACATTAGATTACACACAGGTGCACTCTATTTAGTCATTAGCACTCATCAGGCAATGTCTATGGGCAACTGACTGCACTCAGACCAAAGGGGGCTGAATAATTACGCACACCCCACTTTGTAGTATTTATTTGTAAATTGGCAAAAGGTGGTTCTACAAAGTATTGACTCAGGGGGCTGAATAATTACGCACACCCCACTTTGCAGTTATTTATTTGTAAAAAATGTTTGGAATCATGTATGATTTTCGTTCCACTTCTCACGTGTGCACCACTTTGTGTTGGTCTTTTCACGTGTGCACCACTTTGTATTGGTCTTTCACATGGAATTCCAATAAAATTGATTCATGTTTATGGCTGTAATGTGACAAAATGTGGGAAAGTTCAAGGGGGCCCAATACTTTTGCAAGTCACTGTAAATATCATTTTTAACCTGAGTAGCGAAAGACCAGGGGGGCTTTTAAAACGATGTGCAGGGAGTTCGCTGTTCTCACCCACTATGAAAGGAGTATTTATAAAACTCAAAAGCACTGAGGTCATATCTTAGTCATTCTATATATATATATTTGCATTTAAGTACTTTAATTATTTACTTAGACTTTATAAATGATGGCATTAACATGTTATATGTTAATGCAATTAACATGTTATATGGCATAACATTAACATGTTATATGGCATTAACATGTTATATGTTAATGCCATCATCGCTTACTTTATTTGGTAAAGTAAGAGATCCAATTTGGATCGGTTAGTTACTTTTTATTATCTATTAAATAAATAAGCAATATAATCTGTCAATAACCGCTGTAACCATAACCATGCTATAGGGATGACATCATTCTGATGAAATAATGAAAATCCTTCACTGTCAAGCTGTTGTAGGCAAACAAAAGATTCCTTGCAGGTGTAATACAAGGAGATAAAGCTTCTGCTTTTCAGAATCATTTTATTTTAAAGTTAGTGAAGTAGATATTTTGTGTATCACGAAAAATACCTACTTTGCATAATGGTTCAACCATTCTGTATTTAGGTTTTAGTAGATGATAACAATTCTGGCAAGCCATCTTTTCTATAATCCTCGGTTATAGAAAAGAAGGCTTTCCGGGTATGGTTTAGTTAAGGTTTAATTATTTGTTACTTCAGGAAATCTTAAAGTTGATCCTGATTTTTCATTTTCATCTGTAAAGCTCATCAGACAAAACATACCAGCACTGATATCCGTATCAGTCATGTTGTCAAACTAACCTATGCAGTCACAACATGTGTTTCCTTCACCACATATTCACTTGCCCTGTTTAGCCGTCTGTTCATAAAGAGCAACAATTTGTGGACACAGTCCATGTTGACCCCCTCGCACTTATGGGATGCTTGGTCCACCTGGACAGACACCAGGACATCCAGACATGTCAGTGGCAATGCTGACAGGACATTCACCGTGTGCCTGTGGACAGAAGTCATAACACTTTTTAGATCAACTATAAGAATGTCATCTAGGTTATCAATAATCACTCCAGTATCTATTATTTTAGCCAAAACCTTCTAAAGCTTCAGAAATACTAGTCTGACCCTTGGAGTTCTTCTAATGTGTCTTCTCCTTCACATGACAGGAGCAGGCAATGGCGCAGCACAGCCACTAGGTGTCGATACAGGGCGGCATCTTCCTAAAACAGTTAAACATCTATAAGATGCAAAGTTTATAACAACTGGGCATTGGTCACACCTCCTCCTCTCTGAACCTGAAGCATGTGCATCATTTTTTCTATGTGCTAATCTAATGTTTCTTAATTGGAAAAAAAAATTTCCTGCAATGAATTTGTTAATATACTTTTATTATATCTTCCTTTTCCACTGGATTTACAGATAATATAGGACTGAAAATATTTCTTTTGTTTTGTTTTTAGCAGGATTTTTGTTTTTTCTGATTTCCCCTTCTAATGACTAAACCAGGGGTAACAGACCTAGAGCAGCAAGGCTTACTGCTAAATGGCACAGATGTTAAAATGCCCAAAGTTACAGTGAGATCGTTTGGGGAACATTCTCAAATTTACTTTCGCATTTGCTCTTAATATTTATATACTTTATTTATTTCAGACAG